ACGGTTTGCGTCCTGTTGCGTAATACTGACGGCTACGTGACTACCATTTCCGCCTCTCTTTTTCTCATACTGAATATCTATGTAGCGTATTTTTTATTATCCATACGCCTCTTAAACTTGAAAATATCGGTATTTTTGTAAGTTTTTTTTTTTTTTTTTTTTTTTTTTTTAAACACTAAAGAAGATCCCATAGTAGATCAAAACGTTTGTTAAAACTTTTTTAAAATCTTAGAATTATAAAAGAATTATACTCGAACAGCTGGTGTTAGCTTGTTATTGCCATTTCCTTAATTCTTTTTATTTAAATATTCAACAAGCTGAAAACATATAAGTTATTAATTAATATTTCGGTAGTTATTGCGAATCTTGCAAAGTGATATAGAACTTTTCGTCTTAGAATGACCCCTTCTATCTACCTATGAGCGGTGATTTTCAAACATCTTGTATATATATATATATATGTATATACACGCATATTTCCGCATCCAGTGAACGGCTCTCATGAACAACGTATATACATTTTTTAGTTTAAAAACTTCGCAGCTTAAAAGATTCTTTATTACTTGTGTATCATTTATGTTATATGCATTTTTTGAATAGAAACAATACTTTTTGAAAAAAATATAATAAGATAATAGTAATATAGGAAAGACTTTCCGGTAAAGTTGCACATTAACTATTCCCTCTTCGAGTTATCTTTATAAAACTTGGTATCTTTATGTAATTTTATTCGCTGAAGAAAATGTAAAAAACAAAAAAAATTTTTTGTCAATCGGACACAATCAATCCGCTATTATGAAAAAACATGTAAAACATCGTTTATCACGATTATCCGAAAAAAGTGGAGGGAAAGAGGCAAAGCCCCTGCAGGGGAGCAAAATCTCCTTGCCTACACACTTACAACACAAACAAAAAAGTTTAGTTTTTATGTTTGTGACGTAAGTGTGTAGGTAAAGGAGCTGCGCCCTTCCTGCACCCCTGCAGAAAAACCTAACCTAACTTAACTTTAAATGTGTCACTACAATATCATTAATGTCACAAAGCATAATGCTTCATCTATGTAACATTTGAATCGGAGCGATTCAAACGTTCGAATGCACACTACACACTTATATCACAAATATAAAAACCAAAATTTTTTACCATAAAAAACAAAACTTCTTTGTTTGTGTTATGTGTAAGTCAGGAAAGCTTTGCGCTCCTGAGTTTTGCCTCTCCTTCTCCACTTTCTTCTTGAATAATTGTGAAAAACGCTTTTTTACATGTTTTTTCAAGATGGCGGATTGATTGTAACCGACAAAAATTCTTTTACATTCGTTTTCAGTGAAGAAAAATTACAGAAAGATATCAAGTTTCATAAAGATCGAAGAAAGAATAGCTAATGTGCACCTTTATCGAGAGGTCTTTCCTATATTCCTATTATCTTATTTTTTTCAAGAAGTATTACCTCTATGCAAAAAATGCATACAACATAAAAAATATATTTTTTCCAAAGCTACAACTTTTATTTGAAACATTTTTTGTTACATAAATAAGTAACAAAATAATATTACAAAACGTGATAATTTTTGTTTTGAGGTTTGACTTTAAAACTGATCTTGTCGGTACTTTTCATTATCATAGTCGTAATCAGCGCCTCAAAATACAGTGATATATTAATTAACAGAGAAATTGAGTGTTTCAGGTTTTCAGAACTGCATCCTTATTTTGTACATCAGGTTTTATAGAGAAAGAGTTTTTTGTATAAAATAAAACCTGACTTACATTTTTTTTATAAATAAAAAATAAAAATGTAAAACAGTTTGAGTTAAGACTTTTCATCATCAACTAAGTTTCAAAACAGTTTACTTTAACAAAGTTATATCCTCCGAGAAAAAATACCTTCTTTATATCACTGTGCGCCGTGTCGCGAAACATCACGTCACGAGAAACTTTGTCGAAACGATTGGTAATATCGGTGGTGTTGCCGGCGCAAAACCACCACGCCGCGAAAAACTCAGAAATGTTTCCAAAGTCTGATTGTTTTGCAAAATTCGTTTACCCGTTTTCTGAATTAATGTTCTACTTCATACATTTAAAATATATAGTTTATATTTACTGTGTGCCAAATTTCAAAACAATTTTTTTTGAAAAGTTATATCGGAGCTAATGTCGGCGCGAAACCACTATGCCGCGAGGAACATTGTCGGAGCGATCGGTATTATCGGAGGTTTGCCGACGCGAATAACGCGAGCCATTACCGTGCCTCTTGATTTTCTATTTCTGTCTCTAACTCACACTTCTTCTCTTTCTTTCTTTTTTCTTCTTTCAACGCGCTCGTATATGTATGCCATCTGGTAGCAAGCATACGAACATGCACAATTTGGTCACACGACAATAAAGACGACCATAATGACGTTTCTGAATGTAAATTTTACACACATTTTCGTTTCTCTTCCATTATCTCCTTTCAGAAGACACAGAGCAAAAACTGCAAAACTTCTTTTTTTCAAATGTTTTATTCTGAATCGATTAAAACTAAAACGAAATCGATCGGTTCAGTCGTTACTGGAACATTGCTCTGTCCACTCTGTGGAACATTGCCATTCGTTGTGCGTGAACTTGGCGCGAGGCACTACCGTGCCTCTTGATTGCGTTATTTACGAAGCTCGCATAAACGCGCATATTGAAAAAACAAGATTAGACTCTATTTTACTACAATTTGTAAATCGCGCTATATCGAAACCTCGTTGTTTAAGTACCGCGTTATACGAGGGTTACCTGTACTAAAATTGTTTCTCTTTAGGGGATCCTAAAGCTGTCCAGTTTTACCGATTGAATTTTTGGCTTATAACCGTCATTTCATAGTAATATTTGCTTAAGAAAAAAAGTTATACAATTTATACATAGAAACCAAACTGTGCCGGATTCGGGACAACATAATGAACAATAAGGAGCTCTCAGAAATGGGTTTCAAAGTTTAGTGTAAATGAAGAGTGTGCTGCAATATTTACGAAAGTGATCCTATATACTTCTGACACACTATTTATTTATACTAAACTTTTAAACAATAATAATAAAATAAACTAATTTCTAGAGAGAACTATATTATTCTTTATGTTATCCCGCATCCGGGATGCAGTTTGTTTTTTATGTATAAACTGCACAACTTTATATATTTAGCAAATATTACTACGAACTGACTGCAAAAGTCGACTCAGTCGGTAAAAAAAATACGACTCACTTTAGGATCCCCTTAGTAAAAATAATTTTGTGATGTACCATATGGTCTACATTCTAATTTTTGTACAATCCTTCCTTCCATAAAGAGTTTTTCTGTTTCAGGAACAACAGCATCTGAGATGGTTGTTGATGCTGTAAAAGTAATAATTAATTATACATTACATTCTGTGTGTGTGTTTGTGTGTGTATGTGTGAGTGAATATATATGCATACAAACAATTGATATATTAAACTGAATAGCTATTATGCAACTTTTGAAATTATGTTGGAAGGAAATAATTGTCTTTTTAGTGTTTTATTTATTACAAAAATTTGTTTTAATATCTCTGAAGTAGTTGAAATACTATCAATTTTCTTATTATAAATATTAAAAAAATACGTTATCATATCGGAATCAACTTAAAATGAATATAATTTTTTCAATATCTCGAAGGTAAATATGCATTTTAGGTCACACATCTCCGATTTCGATGTGCTTCAGATATGTTGTAGGGCAGGTCATACCGAGTAATTATGTGAAAAAATTTCGTGGGGGACGGCCTTGGTTTAGCAGATATGGCAGTTCAAAGTTTCGGAACAATATTAGTATTTTTGTTCTTTTCGTTCGTGTTGTGAGCATGTAGGCAGGGGAGGCTGCGCCCCCCTGCACCCTCCCAAAACCTAACCTAACCTAACCTAACCTCTAAAAGAAGCTTTTCACAAGAAGCAAATGTAATTGGAAATCGTTATTTTTTTCCGAAGGGGGTTACGACTTCCGATTACATTCGCTTCTTGTGAAAAGTCGGTAGGGGAGAGGGAGGCAAGTTGGCGAGGGAGGCAAGATGACGAATCGGTAGTTTGACCTGTTATAATATAGGTAGCGCCACCAAATTTTTACTGAAGGAGCATCATAACAAGGCCAAACCTTGTACCCGGTAACTTCGTCCGAAAACATTATCACAAAAAAATAATCAACAAAACAGTGAAAAATTGCGATTTTGTTATTTTTTTGTCGTTTTTTCAAATTTGAATGTTCACTTCATGAGGTAAGTTAAAATTTCAAAATAATTTTATACACGATAAAGGTACTTTATTATACATATTCTGATAGTTTCCGGCGAGTTTCGATCATAAATTTTTTCAGCAGAATTTTTCGATTAAAAAAGTCGTTTGGGGGCAAGTTGGCGAACTTCAAGATTATGTAAATTTTTGGTGTTTTTTGCAGATGGTTCGAACTTATAAGAAAAAAAGGGACCAATATTGGTCGCAGGTCAGTTTGGAGAATGCTATGAAAGCTATAGAAGAAGGTTCGTCTGTTTTGGCTGCTTCAAAAAATTTCGGTGTGCCAGAATCAACTTTGAGACGTTATCGACGAAAATATCCAGACATGGAGGTTAGATTTTCAATTCAGCAGTTACGTTTCTATGTTCTTTATCTAAAAATTATTAAATCTGTATCAATTTCAGGATACTCCGTCCAATAGAGGTCGATTTAAATGCACATTCAGCGACGCTCAGCTGAAAGAGCTGTATGATTTTGTGCTCGCTGTTGACCAGCGTGCGTTTGGACTCACGAAAGTTCAGCTTGGAAGAATTNCCTATTCATTTGCAGTTAAAAATGGCATAGAGCACCCATTCAAAGGGACATGCGCCGGACGGACTTGGGTTGAAACGTTTATGAAGGCTCATAACTTATCTATGAGGAAGCCAGAAAATACCTCAGCTGCTCGATTAATGGCATTCAATAAAGAAAACGTCGACTTATTTTTTCGAACTTTGGGAGAGATACGAGCTGAATATCGTTTTCCTGCGTGTGACATTTACAATGTTGATGAAACGGGCGTGTCCACCGTTCCGACCAAGGATCCCAAAACCATATCACCAAAAGGGAATCGTCGTGTAATCAAAATATCTTCGGCTGAGCGAGGTATAAATGTAACAGCAGTGTGCTGTATGAATTCGCTGGGTCAATTTATCCCACCAGCATTTATTTTTCCGCGAGTTAGAGACCTTGATAAATTTCTGCAAAATGCTCCAGCTGGTTCAAAAGCGCTTGGAAATGAGTCCGGTTGGATGACCAACGAATTGTTTTTGGTTTATTTAGAACACTTTGTTTACCATACCAGACCGTCCAAAGATCGAAAAGTTTTATTGATTTTAGACAATCATTCCAGTCACGTCTCTCTTGAAGCCATAGAATTTTGCCGTGCCCATCATATTGTTATGTTGGGCTTCCCTGCACACACGAGTAACCACCTTCAGCCATTAGATGTTTCTGTGTATGGTCCACTGAAAACTGCGCTAGGAATCGCATGCCATGATTATTTGATCACTAATCCTGGCAGAGTGATAACTATCGCAGACGTTCCTGGAATATTCAAGGTGGCATATCGAGTTGCGGCGACCGAAGAAAATGGAGTTGCTGGATTTCGTGCGACTGGAATTCAACCTTTCAACAGTCAAATATTCACCAAAGCGATGTTTGCGCCAGCAGCCACAACTGACAGACCTCTTCAAGTTGTTCCAGCTACACCTGTCAACACAACACCAGCTACACCCGTCGATGCGATTCCAGTGACTCCTACTTCACTCACAGAGATTGTCGACGATATGGATATTGCAATTCCATCGTTTAGTGGCGTCACTTCTACTCCTACATCATCGACCAGTACTTCTTGGCCTCTCGTTTTACCCAAAGCTGCTGTGCCGAGACCCACACAAAAACGAGGAAAACTTCCATCAATGGTTCTCACATCGTCGCCAGTAAAAGCTGCCTTATTAAAAAAAAAACAGGACAAAGAAGCTAAAAAAGCAGGGATCGAGTTACGAAAAAATCAGCGTGAGGAAAAACGGAAACAAAAAGAAATTGATCTCGAAAAAAACAAAAAATTGAAAGAGATTGCCAAGGCGAAGAAAAGATCTAGCAAGAAAAACCAGACGAAAAAGTTGCAACAAAAAAAAATGAAAATCTGCGAAAGCTCATCAGAGGAAGAATCCTCCAACGATGAAAGTAAGGTGGAATATGCCGAATCGTCAGATTACGATGAGTTTAACGAGGACGAATGCTTGGTCTGCGGAGAATTTGGAAAGACAGAAGACTGGTTTCAATGCAGTAATTGTAAGAAATGGGCACATGCCGACTGTACTGGTTGGATGTACCCAGACAAACCCTATGTGTGTGATTTATGTGTTCTTTAAACTTATTTGTACTCCTTAGNTACTTTTGACTTATAAATAAATAATTTTTGATATAATTTTGTTGTTTACGAGCATTTTTAGGTGACCAAACCCTATTCGCCAACTTGCCTCCATATGGAGGCAAGATGGCGAATTCGCCACTTTTTGCGCAAACTCATCTGGTGGGCATGTTTTTCAGTTTTTTTGTCCGTCCAATAGATAATATGATAGAAAACACTTCAGTCTATAAGAATCAGCATTAACATTCTCAAAAAAATTTTTTTTTTAAGTTCCAGGCCTTGTCAAAGCTTAACCTCGCCAACTTGCCTCCCTCTCCCCTACTTGATTTTCGAGAAGGGGAGCACGGGGAGAGGCAAAGCCCCTTTCGGAGGTTAGGTTAGGTTAGGTTTTGGGGAGGTGCAGGGGGGCCCAGCCCCCCCCCTGCCTACGCGCTTCAAACGCGAACGAAATGTACGTGGGACCGAAAAATAAGAATTCATTCGTGAAACTTCTTCCCCTTGTAACTTTTTAACAAACAACGACTCCCGCCTAAAACCTTCACATTATTATTCGGGACAATGACCTTCACAACATATATAAAAATTATTGAAATCGGAGGTCGCTCCCCTAATCTGCACTATTATCATAAAAATATAATGAAAAATACCTCACGACAGAAATTAGACCAATCGACAACAGTGTGTGATTGAATATTCAGTTCATCGCTGAAAAACAAAGCTCTTAACAAACTTCGAGGAAGTGAAATAGAATCTTGACCTTGTAGCTTTGTTTACATTCCTCAACACATCAGCCCGACATACACAAACTTAACTGTTCGTAATAACAGCTTTTAATATCTAGAATAAAGCATTAAAATTCTGAAACTTCAAATTGCCATATCTCCTAAACTAAGGCCGTCCCCCACAAAATTTTTCTACACAATCACTCAGTATGACCTGCTCTACAACATATCTGAAGCGCAAAGAAATGGGTGATGTGTAACCTAAAATGCATAATTACCATCTCGAAAACAGTCGAATTTCGATCGGAATGATAACAAATTAAATTAAGTATACAATTTTTTATCTAAAATATATACACGTAATAAAATCTGTCTTTAAAGAACTTATTTTTTTTAAGTCTTGATAAGCATCAAGTTCGATTTGACAGCGATGGTCTTAACGAGAATTAGTAAGACATAGAAAGCATGAGATTTTTAATAAAAAATAAAAAATATTTAATGTAAAAAAACTTGGCGCGGCTGCACCAAAAACTAAAGAAAAAGTGCAGCTGCGACAAGTTTTTTTACATTAAATATTTTTTATTTTGAAACATTCCACATGAGTTTTTGACATTTCACAATTCTAAATCTATATGCATTGTTACGTCCTGGGGACTCCACGGGCCTCTTTTTCTTGCAACGCGACGCGCCAACGCATAATAAATTTCCCTTTTAGTAAACAATAAAAAGCAATAAATAATCCGAGCAGACCTCCTATCGTTTGGAGACTTGGACTCCAGACGATAGGAGAGCAAACGGAAATCATATCGGCGCTCGAAAAGATAAACCGCGCCTAGTAATAACCAAAAATTTTAAAACTTATTGTTTAAACATCCTAAACATACCCGGATATCTCCGGGCCAGGAAGAACACCGCTCATAAAAATTAGAGCAGCCGAAGCAAATAGAACTCCGACGCCACGAATAATCCACAAAACCTTTATTATAAACAAATAGCAAAGGGTCTAGGTGGCGTGATCGAAAACCAACACTCTCCCTTTTCCCTTCTCCGGAAAATCGGAGCCGACTGAGCCGAGAGATCGTCGCCGATTGGCGATCTCACAAAGTTTACCCGACCAACTAATCAACAAATAAGAACCAGCAAAGCTTGACCGAGTTTTCCGATTGGAAGAGTCCTCGCTTACTCAAAATTGTATATAAGCCGGGACTCTTGGGATCAGAGCAGATAGAGCCGCAGATTTTAGGAGTACCACACTGAGTGAGTGAGTGACAGTGAGTGCAGAATGTGAGATCTCAGAGTGAACTGTGCCGCAACAGTAGAACCTTTTATTAATCAACATCACTGGTCCGCAGCAAATAGTAAGTCCATATTGTAATTATTTTCATTCGGAGGTTCCACTGTTCGCGTACTTACCTCTCGACTTTGCGACTGATTTTCGGAGAAATCGAAAAAAATGGTTAAAATAAACGAATAGATAGACGCGCTCAAAAATCCGAATTTTTCGTAAGAGCTACTCACGGTGCATAGCCGTTTCGGGTGGCATTCGAATTTTTCGGAAGGGCTACTCGCGGTGTATAGCCGTCTCGAGTGGCGTCCGAATTATTTCTTTTTCCTTCCTAAGTCACGGAAACAAACAAAGCCCGCTTATCTCCGAATATCAGTCTTAGAATCATGACACATTCAAATTTATTCCTATCATTAAATCTATCGGAACCTAAGAAATGAAACAAAACCGAATTTGTCAACTGACATAAGAAAATACATTTCTAAGATGATCTAAGTTGCGCAAACATGGGTTAAAGAGACTGGCTGCACTAAACAACTCGTATTCCCCCTCTCTCTCACACTTGCACCCTAGCTTATAGATTACTTTGTACAATTATGCGCTCCGTCATTGTATTAGTTTCAACACACCTGTATGTTAGTAATTTTCTAAGATTTCGATTTGTGTTTTTTTAATAAATATAACTACTTTATAATGTGTGGAATCAAACTAAAGAATTATTCTTTGTTATCCTTCTCTCCGTACAACCCACTCTCACTTCCTCGTTAAAATCGCTAGGTCCCGTCCTTGATAAATGAGATTTGCGTCTCAGACCTAAAAAGGGACCAATGAGTGAGTGTTCGCTAGACAGAGTAAGATCAGCGTACGCCGTTGACCTGTCGACGAATATAAACAAACTCTCTCGACTCTCTCACAGCGGCTTCCGTGTCCACTGTAAAGAGAGATATGGAAAACGACGCGTTTACTGTTGCGTTACACCACAGCCGGACCGTATCTATGAACTAGGACGTAACAGTATGATTCGACGTAGTTTAAGATTTTTCACGCAAGGCGAAGTCATTTCTTACATCAATGGGTGCTTTATATAAAAAGTGCAGTGGTCATACAATATTTGAAACTTTTTATTCATTTAGAATATTTTCTATTTTACAACGTAAACACCTTACAAAGTTTTATATATTTTATATGTTTTTGTAACCATGTATAAAAGATTTTACTTGGTGTAACTTATTGATATCATTTCTTTTGTAGAATAGATCTTGTAGAGGAAGATTTTGATAGTAATACTTTTTTTAGAGATACGAGTTGCGCATGTACTTGGCGTCTTTTTTTACCTTTTTTTTGAAAAGATATTTTGTTCGGATATCACACATTTTTATATAATATGGTTTTGACAAACACTTTTTTACTTATATATTATATATAACTTAATTGTTTGCGTCGGTAATTATGCAGTTATACGGACTATTTTCCGATCTCAACAATTTTGACATATGTTATCAAGGTCACCTCTCTGAATAATAATATGAAGGTTTTATCCGTCGCTCATTGTTTATAAAAAAGTTATGAACAAAAAAAGTTTGATGATTGAACTCTCGTTTTAAATATAAAAAGATAGAAAAAATATAGAAAAAATATAGAAAAATTTTGGAGAGATATAAGTAGAAAAAATATAGAAAAAATATAGAAAAATTTTGGAGAGATATAAGAGCAAATATTCCGCGCTATGGCACTCGCGATTATCATTTTGAGCATTATATGGCAGAATTTTTGTTCAAAAGAATGTATAATTTCGATACTCGAATTGATGCCTTTTTCGGCATAATGAGTGCTATGTATTCACTACATCA